TAAAACCCTCCCCCGCCCCCTCCCCCCGCCCCCGAGCCCCCCAGCCTCCATTTTTGAAATCTCAAGTTAAAACAAAAATGAAATAAATTAATTGGAATTTAATGGTATTTTTACTATATATACTTTTTATTGTGAATTTCCCTTTTGTTATGTCATCCTAACCTTTTCCTTAGTTATCAGGAATTAAAAAATCATTAAATGTCACTGCTCTAGAGGTGGTGGGACCTGGAAGAATGCAGCCCATAAACAAGGTGGATAAAGTCTCATGCAATAACCAACTTTATTCCGAGCATCAGACAATTTATACTCTTGAGTGTTAAGAAAAATCACATGAATAAAGTGTATAATCAGAAGTCACACGTGGTGTGCATGTCACACATGGTGGACAAGTCACACGTGGTGGGCAAGCCACATGCAACAAAAATCTTTTCCATAGATTTGTGGTTTTGAAGAAACCGAGGTCGCAAGACTCTTGTCTTGGTTTCTTGGCGTTTTCTCAGAAGCATTCAGAAATGTCCATATATAGCTCCTTTCTTGGACTGTGTTCTGATAATAAATAAACCAGTGTTTAAACACTGTGAGAAAAACAAAACAAAAAGCCTCATGCTGCTGCCTTTAATATTGCATAGAGACAAGAGGCCAGCTGATTCTGTGAGTTCCAGGCCTGCACAGTGAGACTCTTGTCTCAAAAAAAAAAAAGATTTAATTTTCTTTTCTGAAATTATAACAAATGTGATATTCATAAAATAGTTCCTATTTTTAAGAGTGCAGTTGCAATAATTATTTCATAATTTTATTCATAATTATTATGAAAGAATAATGATATTAAAGCTTATCTTTAGTCTGAAAGGGATGATGATTAAACTCATGAATTGTAAGAAGCATGTAAAATTCATCCCCTTGCTCTTTTGCAGGTCTGTGTCAGCCTACCAGGGAGCAGAGTTTTCTCAGGTGGTTTAAGTAAAGAAGTCTTAACAAAGGGACTATTATAGCAGTATTTTTAAGGAATAAAGAAGATCTGGTGATAGTAGGAAGCTTTTGTTGTGACTACTGTTGAAAGAGACAGCTAGAAGAATTGTAGAGAAGGGCCACGTGTGATAGTGAATTGCCAAAGAGAGGCTCTATGGTACTCGTTACAGTTTAAGAGACAGGATTGCTACAGAACAGTAGGGCTAAAGCAAGAAGGGAACAAAGGTCTCCTTACCCGTGGGGCCTACCTCTTCCCTGAAGTTAGTAAGAAAGTGAGTTAGTCTTCAGAGAATGTATCAGGAACTAACGGGTACACACCAACAGTTCTAAATCCTGTGGTCTTGGGATGATCTCTTCTTGGGATGATCTCTTGCACAAGAGCCTTTGTTTAAGAGGGCTCTTACCCCAGTGGTTAGTTGCTGCATTTGAAATTAAATTAGAAGTCAGAAGTGCTCTATTAATTGTTAACATAAATAACATTTAGAAATGAAAAATATTCCAAGTAAAGTGACCCCGTTTTTGTAAATTTGTGAAGCCAAATTAAATAAACCATTAGATTCTCATATCTGCTTCTGTTATGATCAAGTTGTACTTTGTTATTTGGTTGAAGTATGTGAAGAAAATCCAGTTTCATATAGAAAGCATGGAAAAGCAAGACTTATTGGCCTACTGAGTACATTTTGGAACCCCTCAAGGTTCCCAGACTGCCTTGAGTTAATTCTGCTGGAGCATATGCTGCCCTAGCCACTGAAAGTCATGACTTTGAAGTCATTCCCTCATCTCATGGTATGGATTCCAATTGTGAAACCTGACTGATTCAGATATACAGGTGGTCCCTTGATTCCCTTCCCCTTTGGAACACTTGTTGATGGCTATTTGGGCTTTCTTGATTTAACTTTAGTTATATGATATAGAATTATGTGTTTGGTAATCTTGGAAGAAAGCCAATCAGATACTTAGAAGAACTGAGGGTGTTGCTTTGTGGTTGTGTGCTTGCCTAGTATGTACAAGGCCCCTAGTATCCATGCCTAGCACTGCAAACAAAGTCACTAGAAAATACTGATTTTATTACCGTGGAGAAAAATGACTTCAAAAGATCTGAATTACTCCAAAACAGAGAATTCATATGAGGCTGAATCATTTTTTAATAAAGAAAAAAATGATTATTTATTGATGAACTTTCCATTTGTTTAATATTCAGGTTTTTGTTTTGTCACTTTCATGTTGAGAGTATGATCTGGTGGAATTAACATATCTATAAAGAATACTAAAATAAAAATAAAGTGAACTAGAGAATACTTACAAAATTGTTGTGTATAGGAATTTTTGTTGAATATGTTTACTGTAAATAATCAAACTCCCACCCCTTTTATGTTTTAGATGATATCAAAGCGGGCCCATCCCCTCTTGCCACCATGGAGGGTTCTGCCTTATACAATGCTTATTATTGATGACATGTAGAAACTGTCACAGAAATAAACCAGGTTTATATGGGATTAGTTTCTAATTAAGGCAAGTTTACTATTTAAATGGAATGACTAATTTTCCCCAAGAAGATTAATGAAATATTTTTCTTCTTCCCCAAAGGAGCTGCTGCTCTCTGGCATGCCAGAGATTGATGTGAATGATTGGATGAAAAATACAGAATACACAAGTGGCTATGAAAGAGAAGACCCAGTCATTCAGGTAACACCCTCTGGAGCTTAGAATGAAGTTAAGTTTGCCATTTAATTTTGTAAGCTCTTCAGCTCTATTGGAAGGGAATCCACATCCATTAACAAAATAAAGATTTTGCATAAATTCTTCTTTGGGGGATATTGCATATGAAAGTCATGTGTGAAATCATCTTTGATAAATGAGTTCCAGAGAATGAAATATGCTTTATGAATATTGCATAGTCTCTTTTTCTAATAAGCCTTGAAATGTGAACTAAATTGTGGTTATTCTTTTAGTGGTTCTGGGAAGTTGTGGAAGACATCACTCAAGAAGAGCGAGTTCTTCTCTTGCAGTTTGTTACTGGCAGGTAAGAAGTACTTTCTTTTATTGTATTTCATTTCTAATGACCAACACAGTAATCACAGAGAAAAACAACCAAAATGAAGAGTCAATACTCTGAATTCGTTTCTTCCCTCTCTGTCCATATTTTAGGTATTTGCATATTGAAAATAGAAAACATTTATAGTAGCGCTAAATCTTTAATATAGTTCAAAAACTTTAATTTTTAATGTATTTTATGTTTTCGGTTGGTTTAACAGTAAAGGCACTCAGTTTGTGTGGTCACACACAGTCTGTCTCATACACACTGTCTTTCTATTGTGTGACAAAATACTATGACCAGAAAGCAAGTTGGGAAGGAAAAGGTTTATTTGGTTTACACTTCTGCATTGTAGTCCATCATTGGGGGAAGTCAGGACAGGAAGTCAGAGAGGACATGAACCCAGAGGCAGGAGCTGTGCAGAGGCCATGGAGGGTGCTGCTTACTGGCCTGTTCCACATGGCTCGCTCAGCCTGCTTCTCTGTACAAACCCATAGTTACCTTCCCAACCCCACAGCGAGCTGTGCGCTCCCTCATCAACTGTTAATCAAGAAAATGTCCCACAGACTTGCCTACGGGCCTCTTTGATGGAGGCATTTTCTGGATTGAAGTTCCCTCTTCACAGATGACTCAACCTTGTATTAAACTGATAAAAAACCAACCAGCCCAAGTGTGAATCTCTATAGTATATATGTATTTTTTAAAGACCATTATTCTTTTATTTTAAAAGTTTTCTACAGCCATTTTAGACAATTTGGAAAATGGAGAACATGAAAGGAAATGAAGTTCCCATTAGGTATCCTCACCATCCAAAGGTAGCCAAAGTATTCCAATTCCAGAATTCCTTGATTTTTTGTTTTCTTTATTGGTTTAATTTCAGTTTTCAAGTCTTGAACCATTTGCTTCACCTGTTTGTTTTGTATTTTTTTTCTTGGCTTTTTTTTTAAAGGGATTTATTGATTTTTTTTTTTCTAATTTTTTGCTTGTCTTTCCTCAAGTTTTTTCAAGCAATTTTTCCTTTTTTCTTTATGGGCTTCTGTCCTCTTAATAAAGTTGTTAAGGTTGTTTTCTTCTGCTTTGTCTCTGTTAGAATGTTCAGGTCTTACTGTTGTAGGATCACTGGGTTCTGGTGGTGCCATATTGCCCTTTCTGTTGTTGACTGTATTCTTACACTGGCATTTACCCATGGGGGATGAATTTAGGTCTGGTGTCGATTTTTGTGTTGTCTTTGTTGGATGGGGTGTTTTGTTCCTTCATTATTTTTTTTGTTTGTTTGTTTCCTTTGTTGTTTTCTGCCCCGAAAGACCAGGGGTTCTGGTGATTATTAGGTCTTCAGATTCAGTAGAGGGGGCTCACATTTGTGGGGGTTGGGTGTCAGCATATCCTCCTGTCCTGGTGTGGGCTGTACCTGTGTGTATGGAGTCTGTTGGAGTTTCTAGAGATGGCTGGCACTGAAGAGGATGATGACATGGGTGAGGTGGGGTGGTGGAGTGGGTCTTAGTGAGAGACAGAATTCAGTGGGTGGTGGTGGTGGTGCAGCCTGGAGGCAGGTCTCTCACCTGCTAGTAAGGTGCTGGGGGCTGCCTGCCACATTCCCCCCTTTTAAACCATGTGGTTTAGCTTTTGATTTGGAATTCATTATTTCTGCAAGTGGTTTATACCTCAGTACCACTGGATGAATTATTATGTTTCCTTTTCATTTGGTTGGTATGGGTCCTTAGGCTAGAAAAACAAAGTCCCTCAGTTTCTCTAATACTGTCTTACATTGCTTCCTTATAGAGTTTTTGTTGTTTCTAACAGTAATACTTAGTGTCCACACCACCTAAGTAGTGTTACTAAAACTTGAACTGTTTGGAATTTAACTGATAAAATGTGGAGAGTTCTGTTTGAGCTGAGGTGATGGGTGTGACTGGAGAAGAGAGGAAACAACACATGCTGAGCTTGCCCTCCAGAGTGAAGACTCCACTTTCCAGCACTTACTCTGAGTTGAGTCATTTGCAGAGAGGCCCAGCTGAGTAAATCTTAAGGTCATCTCAGCCTTCACCTGTCTTTCACATGAGACTCTAATCCTTACTAGAGATGGAATGTTTTCCATTTCAAGCTAGAAGTATACATTTTTTTCTCTTGGACTTTACAAAAGTTTCTGATCATGTTGAAATACCTGTCTCTAAGTCCATAGAATAATTTACTACATCTTTATTGAAAATAGAATCAGATATGTTCTGATTATAAGGTAAGTTGATATACAAATGGAAATTTTTAGGAGGGTTCTCACTATGTAGACCAGACAGGCATCAAATTCCCCGAGACCCGCCTGCCTATACCTCTTATTGGATGGGATTAAAGTTGTGTGCTACCATGCCTGGCATTGTTTCCTTGTGTATAAGACTTTCTTAAATGTCTTGCTGTTATATGTTATTGCTCCTGTGGTATAATTGAAATCAAATTTGATGTTATTTTGAAAGTGTAAAAAAAATCAACCGAGTAAGTATGATCCCCAACTACTGTTGTTCACAGTATACAGAAGAGTAGGTGCTCCATGCAGTAGAGCTCACAATCTGCTCCAGCTTGGATGTTAGCAGTGACTACCTGGTTCTCAGTTACTCATTGTCCAAGGATTGAACTCAGGACTCTCTCCTGTGTGCTGGGCAGGCAGCCTCACACTGAGCTGCATCCTTGGCCTGCTCTTTTGTTTGTTTAACTGGTCTTTCAGAGTTTGGTTGTGTGAAGGACATTGGCTGTTTATCCAGATACTGAAACACCATGGTACAGTTTGTGTAAGGGTTAGAGACAGCACTTATTTTCTCAGCTTCTCTTACTAAAGCGATATTCTTGGATTTTGCCTCTATAAATAATTAGAACAGTTTACTTTTTTATTCCTGGTCACTTTGTTAACTTTATAGATAAAATGAAAATACATGCACTAATTAATATTGTGTTTTTAATTTTAAAATAGATATATCTCTGTCTTTTTGAAGCTATTCTATAACCCAAAGGAAGAATGCTCACCCATTTGTGATTTATTAATAAGTTTCAGAATTTTTGTTTCCTATGTGACTGGGGATTGAACCCAGGGCATTATAAGTGAGGCACATTGTAAAACCCCCTTTTACTTTACCTTTTTTAATTAAAAATAGATTTTTTCCCCAGCTAATGTATTCTGACTATGGTTTCCTTCCCCCAACTCTTCCCAGATCCCACCACTCCTTAGTTCCTCTCTTTATAAAAAAAAAAAAGAGGCATCTTTTAAAAGAAAGATGGAAGAAAGGAAAAGAAATCAGGTAAAAATTAAAAAAGAAAACCACAAACTGAAATAGGACAGAACAAATGAGGGGGAAAGATCCAAAGAAAAAGCACAAGAACACATACAGACACAAGCATCCCCATTCCCATACACAGAAAATCCCTTTAAAAAATGGAAACCATTATGTAGACACAAAGGACCTGGTAAGGTTAGTTAAAAAAACAAACAAACAAAAAAGATCTGACATTATAAGGCAAACCTATAAAATATCATTGAATTGGGTGTGGGAAATACCCTTGGGTGTGGTTTGTATACCCAGTGAGCCTCCATTAGAGAAAACTAATTTTTCCTTTGAAGTGGTTGTCAGTTGAAGATAGCTTCTGGGTTTGCCATGGGGGATCATGGTCTGCCTCCTCCCACAGCACTGGGACCCCATCTGGCCTAGACCTGTGCAGGCTTTGTATTCAGGCAATAGTCTTTGGGAGTTGATATGTGTGTAATTCCTGTTGTGTTTTGTTTCCTTGGTATTCTTCATCCTCAATGACTCTTAACAATCTTTATGCCTCCTCTTCTGCCAGTTTCCTAAACTCTAAAAGGAGGGATTTGATGATTAGGATGGAGTGTTCCAAGGTCTGTCATTCTCTGCAAATTGTCCCATTATGGACCTCTGCATCTGTTCCCATCTCTGTAGGGAGAAGCTTCTCTGATGATGACTAAGACACTGATCTATGATTATAGCAGAAGGTCACTAGGAGTCATGTTATTGCTATGTTCTTTTTGAGGAATTGTAGTGTTTGGGTTTCTTCTAGGTCTGTGACCTATTTAGCCTCAGGTTGTTGGTGACCTGAGCAGTGTAAGCCATGAGTTCTATCTCATGGTTTGAACCTTTAATCCAATCAGTGACTGGATACTCCCACAACTTTTGTGCCACCATTATACTGGTATATTGTGCAGGCAGGTTACCATTATAGATCAAGGGTTTGTAGCATAGTTGGTGTTTACCCTTTTCCTGTGGCAATGTGTAGAGTCCCTTTCAGTATCATCTCAATACTAGTCAGTAGGAATGAAGGCTTTAGTTCGGCACCAGCTGGACTTCTCCATGGTCAAGGTGTTTGTTGTGTAGGTGTTGCCTTCACAGTAGAACCTTGCTGTCAGTTTCTGGAGAGTAGCCAGTAGTCTTGGCAATAGCCTGGGTTGTTTGGGTGTTTCCATGGGGCCACTTTGGCCAACAGCTTGAGTGGATGTGGAACTGGAGATTTCATGTGTTGGCGAGAGGTGTCTAGATGGGGCTTTGTCCCATCTAGAGTTCTTTCATACACGTGTGTATTTTAAGAAGCTTCCACTGGATTAAGTTTCTATAAGACCCTTAAGATAGCCCTTGGTTTTAGTTTTCCCTCCCCATTTGGTCATTCCATTTTATTCCCTACTGCATCTATCCATAGCTATTTACTCTTTTCCCCATTGCTAGGAAGACCCACGCCTCTTCAGTCCCTTGCTTTATACCAATGGTTCTCAGCTCAGTGCTGCGACTGTTTAATGTTGTAGTGATCCCCCAACCATAACATTATTTTAATTGCTACTTTATAAATAATTTTGCTACTGTTATGAATTGTAATGTAAATATCAGTGTTTTCGGATGGTCTTAGGTGACCCCTGCAAAAGGGTCACTTGGCCCTAAAAGGGTCGTGAAAGGTTGAAAACCACTGCTCTGTACCTAACTTCTGTGATTATACGGATTGGAGCC